CCTGGATAATGCTCTTGTCGTTGCTGTGGCCTTTCCTCTCCGTTGCTTCGTTTTGCTTTGTTGTTGTTTTTCTTTTCTTAAAGGAAAATATTGGTTCCCCCCACGCTGTTGCGTTGCGTTGCGTTGCGTTGCGCGGCGCGCGTGCGTGCACCCGGACCGAGGCAGCGATGGCGCGTGCAGGCGGCAAAACAAGAAGGGGGAAAGAAGGAAGAAGGCGGGACACAGAAATCGGGCGGCGCGGAAAGCAGGAAAGTGAAAAATAAAGAAAAAGGCCATGCAAAACACACGCAGAAAAAAAACAAAACAGCAACAACGAACAACAAACACTAGACGCGGTGAGGGGGGAAAAAACGATCATAAAATGGAGGTAAAAGCAGCAAAAAAAAAAGAAGCACACGAGACACAGCCACCCATCGACGCACCTGTATGCAACTGCGCAGCAATATCCCAGTGACAAGTATGGGTGTGTGAAATGACAGCAAGCGAAGCAGTGCGGGGTTGAAAAGGTAAGAATGGCCGTGGCTGTGCTGGTGGCAACGGTTATTACTAGCGTATGACAAGATTAGTTCAGAGTCGGCGCATCATCACAGTGGCATTCCGCAGCTTGGCGGCGTCAATCGTGAGAGATCCATCCGCCAAGGGGCGCGGGGGAACGTCACGGGCAATGAGCTGAAACGACAACGCGTCCGGCTGGGCGTGCCGCGCCGCCAAAAAGAAAACATCCCTGACGGTGTGTCGCTGAGGGTTGACCCTGAACTCCTTGCGTTCCCCGAGGAGATTCACAATTGCCAGCTTTGTCGTTTCCTCGTCCTCGTGAAGCTCAAAGCTGTCGCTCATCGCAACAGGGGTGGCACAGCCCCCAGTCTGCGCCACGGAGGGTGGGGCTGCCACGGCTGTTGCCTCCTTGGCATCCAGCCTGCGACCCTCCCCGGCAAAGGCCGAGAAGGACGACGGGGCGTCGTGTTGGGTGCAGTCAACCAGTCGCACGGAGATGTTTGTGTTGGGGTATATTGCCGCAATGCTTTCCGGCACTACGCCCGCTTCCAGCGCCTGAAAGAAGGCCATGCCTTCGGAGCTTGCCTTCTGCATTCGCGGCCCATCGTCAACGCGATAGCAGTCACGGTACACCGTGACCACAATGTCGCGTCGCTGCCGCAGCGTGGGCTCAATAAATGGGCTTGCTGATGCTGTGTGCCCAAGACGTCGTCCACGGCCAAAGAAGAACTGAGCCTCCTCAACTTCCTCGTCGCCCTTCCCCTGACGGACCTTGTTAAACAGCGACTCGATGACGTTCTCTACCGCGCCATCACCGCCAAGTACCACCTGCCCGGAGGACGGGCCGCCACCAACAAAATGTTTTTCCACCTTCTTGCCAGCCGCGTCGTCCGCCCCTGTTCGCTGCCCCTCAACCGACGCCCAGTGGCTGGCGGCCGTCTCTTCGAGGACACGCATGACACTCTCCGCGTCCCCACCGTAGTTTTTTAACAGCTCTAAGGCTTCCTCCCGCTTCAGCCAAGGCATGAACGCCGTGAGTGCCTCCACCTCGTCGTCTTCTTTTCGCGACATGTGTTTTTTTTTTGCGCGTATGGGTGTGTATTACAAACCCGCCTGCCTCAGTACGTCCGTCTCTGTTTTTTTTTTCTCCCTCCCCCTCCCTCTGTTTCTTCCGCTTCTCGCTTTGCTTCGCAGTTGTACCTTTGACTTCTTGCTGAAGGTATTTAAGGGTTCTCTTTGTGCCGGCGGTGCTTCTTGCCTTCCTCCCGGACTTATTGCTGCTTGCCTGCTCTTACGTTGCCCCACAAGCTTCGGTGCTAGGCGCAGTGGCTATCCTTATTAGGGGCGGAGAGGCGCGGCAGCCACACGCAGCGCGGTGGGAGCCACCGTGAGGGAAGAGAGAGAGAGAGAGAGAGACAGGGAACAAAGGAGAAATAGGGAGGGAAAAATAAAAACAGCAACGTGCTTTTGACCGCCTGCAACAACCTCAAATAAAATAGATGCGAGGGACGCAGCGCAATGGGCGCGCATGGCATTGTGGTAGACGAAATGGGGGAATTCTCTCACTGCGGCGCCTCGCCCTCGGCCAGCTGTGCTACTGCGGACATGAGCAGGAGATAGCGAGGTGGGCGCCCACCACCGCTGTGTGTGAGAGGGAATCACAACACTTCGACGAAACGGCATTCACACTCATTCCGCAAGGAACCACACACAAACCCACACACATATATATATATATATATGGATGCAACAATATTATATATATATATATATATCCACACTCACGCACACAAACACAGGCGCAGAGAAAAAATAATAGAGTAATTAGTCACACAACTCCACCTTCTCCCTGCTCCTCCCCTCGCTTTCTCTCAGTGGACCAGTACATTACTGGTTGTTGCTCTTGCTTCAGTCGGCGGGTGGGGGGGTGGGGCACCGTGTGTCCCTCGGGCAACGCCGCAGCGGTTGCCGTGCTTGGCGGCAAAGCGATCACACGAGAAGCGGGCCCCTCCCCCTGCAGATGCACGCTTACGTACATGCCCCTCGAGCTACATGGGGCAACTCCGCAATTTACTGCAGTCGCCATGCAGGAGGCAAAGCAGCAGCAGTAGTGGAAATCACAACGTCTTTTCTGCGTGCGCCCCGCAATGAAGAACCCCACCCCCCAATAAAAAAGAAGAAGACATGAAAAACAACATATCTACATTGATGCGTTGATCCTTCCGCACAATTACCTCTCATGGTTAGTGGTTTGATTATGTTTATTATGCGGACTGCTACACCTCTCCGGAGACTCCTTCTTCCTGGGTCGCGTTTCCCTTTATAAGGCGTTGGTAAACACACACCCAAAAAAAGAAAAGAAAAAAAAGTCGAATTTCTCAGGTGACAACTTCCGTCGCCGTAGACGGTGTCGAAAGCTCTAAAGCTTCCGCACACGCCGCCGCCGCCGCCATCTTCCACAGGTCCATCACGCCGCAAAGCTCATCCTCCGCGGACTGGTAGATGCCGGCTAGAAGTTGCAGCGCCTGAGGCGTCTCAGGCGTTTCCTCCTCGCCTTCTACTGTCGAGACGCGTACGTCCCCGCCGACGTCTATCAAGTCCTTACTGTCATTATCACCCGCGCGCCGTCGCAGAGAGCGGTCCGCCAGCGCCACCACGCGGCGTATAGCTGACCTGCTGAGTTTGTCGTAAGACCGTGTGGCGGGCAGCGGCGCCCCATCGCTGCCGCCACCTCCAGTTTCATCCCGCAATACTTGAAGGACATCATCCGCCCCAAGCAGGTGGCATTCCGCAACGGTACCGCTCATACGCACCGCACGCCTGTTCATCCTTTCACCCCTCCGTCGGAGCCACAGCTTCCCAATGTCTTCCACAGTCTGATTACTTTGTCCGCGAAGTCCGCGACTCAAGACATTGTCATCCTCTAACACCTCACCCGTTTTAGCGACGGACCTGGCCTCAAGTGAATGCTGACCCTCTTGTGGTGGGAGACCTGCCGTTACGTGACCCACTTGAAGTGGCTCATTCCGAGGCACCGCGCCCCTGTGGTTGAGAAGAGGCTCCGGGTCATTCGCTGGCGCATGGCACCCCAAGGCCTGGGCCTTGTTCCCTTGGTGCCGCCCGTGGGAGGGGGTATTCGGCGGGGGAGCCTGCAACGAGGTGGTTCTTGCGTGTCTATCGCTCGTGGGGGTGGTGCCAAGCGAAAGTCCCGTTAGGACCGCGGAGAGCGGGGTGAGGGGCTCCCCGGTGGTGTAGGGCTCCAGGCGCGGGTGCCGCAGAAAGAGCTCCTCCTTTTCTTTCCCCCCCCACTCGCGCAGCACATCAATCGCAATGACGGCCTCGTCGTCCATCCACTCCGCTTCCGCGACGCCTTGGGCGTGCAGGTGCCGACACGGGCTTACGCTGCAGTCGTCCAATCTTCCACCACCGGTGGCCCTTGTGTTGACCTCGAGATGGAATTGCGCCGCATCGTTCCTCTCCAGGAGCCAGTGCCTTGACGCCACCGCGGCCGCCGCCTCCTGTCGCGCACCCGTGTTTGAGTAGTCGCTGCCGTTCCTCACTCCTGGCAAGAGACGAACAAGCGCTGCGTCATTCAACGCACCTCCGCTGTCTTCATTTTGGTTAGTATTTTGATGCCCCCCCTGCCGTTGCTTTCGATTTTGCCGTTTTGCTTTGTGCTCAGTCCCATGCCGATGCAGTTTGCCTGGACTAGGCGGATAAGGAGCTTGCCGCCCGTCCAACTGAAACATTTGGTCCGGCTGGGTCTGCACAAGAGAAGCGATTTGAGCTCCCCGCGCAGGCGCAGTCATCACCTGCGGCCGCGCCACGTCACTCTTAACACGCGCGCTCTCCGTGGCGTGGGCGACAGTAGTGGTGGTGGTGGTGGTGGTGGTGTTTGACGGGGCCGCAACGGCGGAGAGGGTGCCGGGCACGCTCATCCTCCGCGTTGCCTACCGGATGAGGGAAAATATGCACAGAGCAGCAACAGCAAAGAAAAAACAAACAAACAAACAAAAAACCACGCACCTCCGCTACGCCTTAGACAGCCAACAACGAAAAGAAGAAAGAAAAGGAGAAAAAATATTAATAAAAAATCCAATTGCAGAAAAGAGCACCCCCCCAAAAAAAAACAACAACAACAAACTATCTTCTTAGTTGCGTGCATAGTACAAACATTGGCGCACCCGAACCGCCTGTTCCCTCGCGCTGCACTGTCTCTGCAGCGGGGTGCAGCGCGTACTCCTCCCTCTTGGCGTCCCCGCCGCCGCCGCCGCCGCCGCAGCAGCAGCAGCAGCAACAACAACACCCTTTTTCTCTCTCAATTATTTGTCAAGCACTCGCTCCCTTACGCTCCTCGCCCGCCGTGCAGGAGGCAAAACGCAACAGCAATATTTTTCAATCCCTCCCCTTCTTTGCTCCTGCTCCGCACTGGGCTCACACACAGAGCCGAGAGAGATGCAAGTGTGCGAGCGCCTCTCACCTCAGACCCCCCTTCTTTTTTCTCTCACCCCCTTTTCTTATTTCGCTTCCCTCCCGCCCCGTTGCCTACCGGAGCGACGCACGGAAAGAAGACCGCGACAAACCACAAGGCGAGAAACTGAAAACACAAAATAGCAACTACGGCGAGAGGGGCAAGGGGCCAAAGAGAGACTGCGTGAAAGGCGCACGGTGTGTTGTGGCGCACCCCGGGGAGGAAAAGAAAGGCGGCGGTGGACGGGAGGAGGGTGGCGGAAGGAGTCACCCGAGGCCACAACGCAAAGAGGCATTAGTAAGCCACGGAGGCACCAAGGCAGAAAAAGAAAAGAAAAAATACACATACAAATACAAAATAAAAAACTCGAGAAAATAAGGAGAAAACAAACATACACACAGAAAGAAAAAAAAAAAACGGACAATAGACCCCTCCATTCGTGGGGCAATAACCCCCCCCCCTTTTGCACCTCTTCCCTCATTCAATGTCATTACCACTTCGCCAAAGCCGGTGCAAATTTCACTCGCGTCGATGCTCTGCCTGCCGTCGCCTTTTGCCATCGCAGGTGTTTCGTGTCTTCGTCACTCCCCTCTCTCACTCTCCTCCCGTGTGGAAGGAACGGCATGGGTAGACTACATCGCCCCCTCCTGCGCGGAGGCAAAGTGGGGGAGGGAGCAGTTTATGCCGTGTTCGGCCAGGAGGCCGGCCTTGAGGGTGTTTTGCATCAAGTACGCAATCGTCAAGGGCCCGATGCCCCCCGGCACCGGCGAGAATGCGGCCGCTTTTTCAGCCACGGACGCCACGTCCACGTCTCCGCACAAGCGCCGACGGCCAGACGGCGTCTTTCCTCCGGCGGTGGAGTCCTCGTTGATCGCCACATCCAGCACGATGGCCCCAGGCTTCACAAAATCCGCAGTCACCACACGCTGTTTGCCGAGAGCAGTCACGAGGATGTCAGCGTGACGACTGACCTGCTTCACCGCCTCCAGGTCGTTGAACCGGCCACAAAGCGTCACAATGAAGTTTTTCTCCCTCTGTAGCAAGGCGGCTGTCGGGACACCAATCAGCATGCTATTGTTGATGATTACAGCGTGCAGATTTCTACGATTCGTTGGAGGCGTCAGCGCGGCGGCCGCAGTCTTTTCCAAATAAGAAAAAAGCAGCGCATGCACTGCCAACGCCGCAGAAGGAATAAAGTAGCGTTCTTCATTCAGAAGACATGTGGCCAGTGACTCGCCCTTCTCCGTCAAGGTACTCTTTTGGTCAGCCTCATCGTAGGTAGGGTTGGCATGCAGTAAAAGGCTTCCCGCATTAAGTGGGTGAAGGCCGTCCACGTCCTTGCCAGGGTGAATACACAGGAGAGCAGGACGCACCCGAAAGCGCAAGGGAAGCGGCAGCTGCGGAAGAACCCCGTCAAACGCATCATCGTCACTGATGCGTCGGAGTTCTCGGTGCAGCAGTCCCTCTGGCACGGTTTCGGAAAGCTTATGAAGGTGGAAGCGAATACCGCAAGCCGCGGCTGTTCGCTGCTTCACCGCAACATAGCGCAGTGAGTCCTGGCGGTTACCAACAACGACAACCGCAAGACTCGGCGGGCGCCGAAGAAGAGCCACTTCTTTTTTTATGCGCTCAAGCAATGCGTCGCTAAGAACTTTGCCACGGAGCTTCTCCGCCTTCATGAATGTGGGGCTGGTTGGCGTATCGCCCCTCTTTTTTTCTTAAAAAAATTTGTATTTGCTGTCTTTATTTCTTGTTCGTTGATGGATCTCGTGCCTTCGCTTTGTGTCTGTAGAAATACTCGCACTCTCGCTCTATCCCTTATACACACACACACTCACGCACGCGCACACGTGTGCCGTTTTGTGCCCGGCGACTTATCGAGGCCTCTCCCCTCTGCAGGCACTCCTTCACGACGACGGCCTCGTTGCGTGCACGTTGCAGAGGAAAACGTGCGGAAGAGAAAGAAGCAAAATTCTGCAGACAGGCAACATTTTTACTTCTTTATTTTATTTTGTTTTATTTTATTTTGTTGCTGCAGAGAAACCCATCATTCACCCCGCAGCCCAACAGAGGGCCGTCGGAACTCAAAGTAGAACACCCTGAAGGAACTGGAAGAGATACGAGGAACAAAAAAGAATAGAACGCCCCACCACCACAGAGAATAAATATAAAGACAACTAAACTAGGCAACCTGATCTCTCCCACGCTAAGCCCAGTCCCGGCAACTCAGTCGGAAAAGGGAACCAGCGAAAGGACTGCCTTTTCCACAGGGCTCAAGGATGGCAGTTGGGGAAAAATAATGGCCAAATCCAAAACAGCTGTCGTATGATCCGTGGACGCCTCGTTGTGAAGCGTGCGGGCAACTTCGTCGGAGGTTCTCCCCGTGTTCAGCTGCAGCTCTGTCATAAACTCTGTCAGCATGGTCTTCAATTCCTGAAGAAAGAGGGAGCCGTGTGACAGTTGGCTCCACGCATGAAGGGCACGGGCAAGTTGTGGCATGCCCGGCACATGCGCCTCATCACCGTCGTCGCTCCTCCCGCGAATCGGGGAGGACGGCGGCGCGGACGGCGCCTGGTGCAGCCGCTGCAGCTGCGCCCATTGGGCCTTCTGGCGGCGCAGCTCCAACGCCGCCGCCGCCGCCGCCCGCTGCCGAGAGCCAAGTTCATTGTGCTCCACCTGCAGCTCCAGTCCCTCCGCCTTCGTGTGGGCCATACGGGCCACCAAGGCCTCACGCGCCGCGAGGCACTTCTCCAGCTCCGCCTTGGCGGCCGCTTCCTTCTGTCGCAGCTCGTCAAGAAGAAGGCGCCGCTGCTCCGCCTCACGCTGCATGTCGGCAATCACAGTGAGGAACTGCTGGGCATCCTTGCCAAAGGCAGCGTCGCCGTCCTCCAGCAGGGGAGTGATGGCAGGCGCCTCCATCTCGGCCCCTTCACCCGTCCCTGTCTCTGGCAAGGGAAAAAGTTAAGAGGGAACATGCGTGCAGGGGCAGCAAGCGCAAAAGGAAGTGGAAGAAAAAACCCAACGAAACACCCAAAAAGAAAAAAAAGGCCGATACAAAAACATATATATATATAATACAGGACGAGAGCGAAGGAGAAAAAAAAGCAGCCCAATGAAAAAAGCCTAGGTGGAGGAGCCGCAGGAAACGGCAAGGCTGCTCAGGTGAATAGAGAGTCAGCAAGAAAGTGTACATTTAATTGGAATGCAAAAATGCGGCGGCAACAACAACTAACATGTAGAGGGGCAGAGCATCAGGGTACAGGCGGGAGCGTCCGCGTCTGGGGTTTGCCCTTCACGGTGAACTCAAAGTGTGGGCGGCGGTATCCCTCACCACGGCAGTAAAAGGGGCAGTCCTCCACCGACACAAAGGGGCACGGCCCCAGTACGCCGAGGTTCTCGAACACAACAACAAAAGGACGCAACTCGGGCATTTCCCACACCTCCCGCAGTTCGGCGCGCTCAATAAATCTTCGACGACATTCCTCAGCATGCAGCAGCAACCCCATCGCCCGTTTAAGACGCATCTTGGTGCCCGTCATCCACTCCACACGACGCTTAGCCTCCCGCAGCCGCCACTCGTAGGAAACGATGGACCGACGTTCCTCCCACTCCTCACGAATGACCCGCTCAAACCTATTGGCAAAGCAGTCCATAAGCCAAGGCAGCATCCGCTCCCGCTCCCGCTCCGCGGCGGCCTCCCTATTCTTTCGAAACGCTACAAATGCATTTATACTCGCTACGCTGGATTCCGCCTGGCGCAGCAAAGTATTGAAGGCCTCCTCTTCAGACTTCAGAAGTTCCCTATGTTTCCTTCGCTGAAGCGCGAGCAGTCGACGTACCTTGTCCCTGAAGCCAGCCGAAACTTCGACATTTTCCGCGTAAGAGGCACCAAGCACAGTTGACGCGTGCATGCTGGCGACATCGCTGCCTGTGGTGACAAAGCCAGCGACAGATATATGTGGCAGAGCTTCCGGCACGTTGTTGCTAGACAAGCGGTACGTAGTGATGGGCCACGGACTGCTCGGGCTGTCATCAGAAGTCGACGTCAGCGCTGGCAGCAGAGTCACCTCCGACACGCGGCCGCCAGGCTTTCGTTTTGCCGAGGCTGCCGCGTGTTCGGAGTCCCACGCACTAATCGATACCTTTTTTGCGGCCATTGGTGGACAGCTCTACCGAAGCAGCAGAGAAAGGGGGGAAGAAAAATAATAATAAAAGAGGCAAATCCATCGCAAACCCTTGACAAGAAATTCTTCGGTGGGAAACAACAGAACAGCCAGAGGCGGGCAGTAGACCAAAAGACAGCCGCATAAACCTCCCATACGTACAAATACAAAGACGTGTATAGAGGGATGGAGGATACCAGTGCAGTGAATTCGTATACGCAGCAAGATAATGAAGCGTGGACTTTGCAGTTTTTTTTTGTTGTGTGTATGTGTATGTGTGTGGAGGGGAGGAGACGCACGGAGAAGGGAGAAAAAAGAACTCCCAGTTCCGCCCCCCGTTATAGTGTATTATATCAGCAAAACACAAAGCAAAAAGCTCCACATCGTGCAGCTTAGCGCCACAACAAAGGCCGTTTGGTCGCACGCGGACCAAACAGTAGCTGCGGGATCCGTCGAGGGGCTCTGCTCTGCACACGCATTCGTACCTCTATCCATACACTAACCCCGGAAGGAGCAGGCTGCAAAATCCCTCAAAGTTCATCGTATCGCAGAGTTGGGCGTCAGCCGCAGCCGCGGCAGAAAGAATCGACTGCGCAACCCCCGCACTGACATCCGCACCGGTGACACGTTTCGCAAACTCCAATAGTGCTTCCCGTGACACTGTAGGCTGCGCGTCAGAGACAACGCTAAACACGCTTCGAAGGCACGCCGTAACCATCCGCGTGCGTCGCTGCTGTGGCGCCCACAAGGCATCTAGCACGGCACAAACCTCAGCAAGCGTCACACGCCGCTGCGGCGACCATGGCTGTCTAACTGCCTCGAGAAATGCCCTTCGTATCTCACGCAGGCTAACCACGGGCTCCACTGTATCGGGCGGAAAAAGGGCGTTGATGATAGGCCTAAGCTGCAGAGCCTCGATGCGGCCAGCATCTTCGTTGTCCCACGCAATGAAGAGAAGTGACGCCTGCTGCTTTTTAAACTCAATGAACGAAGGGAGTGCGTGGGAGAGCGGAGCTGGCGGACCCGGCGCAGATGCCTCTGCCGAGGCGTTTCCGACTCCACCCTTCCCCGCCCCTCCGCCTCTATTGTGAGCCCCTTCGCGTCCCATACTGGCCTGCACCCGGGGACAGGAAACAGGCAAAGGCGCAGAAGTGCACAGGGAGAGAGAGGGAGAGATTGAAGTACACGGCAAACAGAAAAAAAAATGACTCCGAGGGCGTTGCGCCGCGCTCCCATAAAGTTCGAGAGGAACACATGAGGAAATATATATATAAAAGGTACGGAACAGAGTGGAAAGAAGCGGCAGATGCCCAACAACACCACAGAGGCGTAGTAGGAAGGACAGCGGCATTTATATGCTTTGCTTCGTGTCCTCATTGGCTTTGTTTCTGATTTGCAGACACTTCCATCTGGAAGCGGGCTCCCGCATGCCTTCCTTGTCGGCGTTTACTTCTCTCTGTCCTCACCTCGTTGTACCTCTTTTTCTCTTTCTTTTCTCCTCCATTCGTCCTCCTCCTTCTTGTTGTTGTGTGCTCTTTAAAAAGAAATCTTCGTCTCTAACGCCATGCTGTTAACTACCGCAACTCATCCTCTTCTTTTCTCGGTCTTTCTTTTTTCCTCCTTTTACGTAAAGCCGCAACCAGCGCCTTCCCACACGTCGCGAATGGAGGGTGCCCGCGTGCGCCATTTATACCTTTTTGTTTTGTTTTGCTTCTTCACGCCTCACGACACCAGCCCCGCCGTTCGCATCTGCACCCACGCAGAGAGTAGCCGCTGCTCCGCGTCGTCGAGGACGCTCACCCAGGCGCGCGCCAAAACGGCCGTGCACTGCGCCGCGGCAGCAGTGGTTAGAATGCGGCCAATGGAGGTTGCCTCCAGCGCGCGGGCCACGTCCAGTTCGCTTGCGGCGTCGCGGATGATGTGGCTCAGTGCGTCCCCATCCTGCAGCTTCGCGCGCCGCATAATCTGCGTCAGCAGGTCCTCCCGCAGCTCCTCCTTCAGCAAACAGGCAACCTTTGCGGCCGACACCCAGGCATCCGGTGACGACTGCTTCAGTAGATGCTGAACGAGTTCAGCGGGGCCCAGATCCATGTTTTTCGTTTCCGGCAACAAACACATCTTCTGCGCCGCAACAATTTCTTCGTCTAGCCGCATTGCGTAGTAGGCGCTCGACGTCGGGGCGCCCGCAGCGACCCAGGCCAGCTTGGCCATTGACAGAGAGCGCGAGCGGTGCGTGACGAGGTCATCGCCGTACGCAAGGTACAAGGGCGACTGCACCCCCTCCGCCACAAGTGCCTCGAAGGCGGCGGGTTTCACCAGCCACGCCAGCTGCGGCGCATCCCGCATGAGAAATGCGTCACGCGCGAGGGTCCCGGAGGCGTACTCCGGCAGCAGCTCTGGCAACAGCTGCAACTCCCACTCCCGACGCTGCGATAACAGGGTGTGAAGGGCGATGTCAAACATGTACGGATTGCGCTGACAAAAGGCACCAAGCAGCCTATACGATTCCGGCTCCTGCTGGGGATCCTCCACGGGTTTGGCGAGGCAAATAGCCACAAGTATGTCCCCCACAGTGAATTCCAACGCCAGCTCCTCGCAGAGACGTAGTACGGCGGTCCCAATCGTCGCATCTGCCGAGGGACGTGGAGCACCGAATGGGTACCCCAGTGGCTCACGCAAAAAAGGTTCGCGAAACAAAGTCCGCCGTATCGCCTCGGCGTAGAAGGAGGAGCTTCCCTGCGAATGGTTCTGGAAAGAGAAGTGAATGTTTAACGCAATAAGCTCTAACAAGCGCAGCTGGTCCGCTGCAGGGACACCCCACAGGGACGGCGGTGCATTGTCAGATGCGGGACGCGGTGCCGTGGCCGCGTTACTGCCTGCAGCGGTGACTTCGGCTAAGGTGTCGGACAGGCTGGTGCACGCGCTCGCGATCTGAAGCTGAATGCCATAGTGCTCCAACTCCGAGCTCGTCCACAGCATCAGACGGACGTTGTGCGGCACGCTGTAGAGGGAGGCCATATCCTCGCGTGACTCGTTAACGGCGCGTTCAACGAGCACAAAAATACTCGCCAACGCCATTGCCCTGTCAAACTTTGTGCGCTGACCCACAAGTACGCTGCGCTGGGTCTCGCAGTGTTGCTCCCCCAACACCTGCAAAAGCGCACTGAGACGACTTGGCTCCCCAAAGACGATTTCCGCCGCCGTGGCCTGCGCGTTCCAAGGCTGCGTGGCACCGCTCTCGCCGCGAACACGATTGGCGACTTGAACAATCGCCTCACGCAGCAGCTGCTGACATCGTTCCCGTTCAATGGAGCTGCGGGCCAGACGCAAGTACTCTTCCACAGAGTAATCCGCGTCCGCCTGCCGCATTCCAGTGGTGGCCTGGCGATAAAGCGGCGTCACAAGATCAAACTCCACGTCACTGCTGCCGTTGGTGCTGCTGCTGGTGGTGGTGGCGGCGGCGGCGATGCTGGATAGAGGATAGGAGCTGTCATTCTGTAGACGTCGAATCGCCACCATGGCAAGCAAAGCCTCCTGCGCAGAGAGAAGTCGTGCAGTTGTCTCTGGCTGGAGACAAGGGCCAATTTCACTGTGAAGGAGCACAGTAAGAAGGAAACGGCGGTGCTCCTGCTGGCGCCGGACGAGGTTCTGCGTCACGTACATGACCATGCCATCCTCCTCCACGTCAAGGTCGGCACGCGCCCAATTCCCCTCGTGCGGTGCCTGATGTGAACAGATGCCCTCGCTAGCCTCCAGTACTGCGGAGTCCAGCGACATCTTGGCGTCAATGCGCAGCGTATGCAAAATGCCATCCACGTGACGCACCATATCTGACAGACCCTCACGTTTTCCCGTAAAGTGCGACCTGCGCCACGCGTCTTGGTACTGCTCCTGCTGAGAACTCTGAGCAGCAGCCTCTACAATCGCCTCATCGGCACACACGACAGACTCCAGGGGTCCATTGATGTCTAACGTGACAATTCTACCATCCGGCAACAACGAGCTGCCAAGAGGCCGCTCGATTCCTCGCAGCACGTGCACATCCTCACTAGAACATGGATGACGAACACCCACCCGGTTATTAAGCCGAACACAATAATGACCTGAAAGCACTGTAACCATGTGTTGTCTTTCGTCAAGGCAAATTCTTGTGTGATGCAACGGGGATTCTGCGACACTTCTGACAAGGGATCCGATGGATTGCATACCCAGCGTTTGTCGTACCCTTCCACTAGAGGCATCCATTGTGACAACCTCCAAATCCGCCCCACGCCCGTCCCCTGGCAGCAAATACACCAGGCAACAAAGCTCAGAGGCCGTCTCATCACAGGCCACCACGCGTCCCTTGCGCTGCAGCACTCTGGATAGGTTTGTGGCCCATTTGACGCGAACCTCCGTCTCTCCCTTGCGTCCTCGACGCCGAAGGGAGCCAAAATCCAAGAGAAAGACTTCAGATGCAGCGTTGACCGCCCACAGCTGGTTTGCCTGGGTCGAACGGAAGCGCAGAAGCGTGAATTCGCGGCCAACGGTGTCGACGATGCCATCACCGCCGCCGCTGCTACAGCTGCTTCGGCTTTTATTACAACTGTTGTCCCGCAACGAGGAATTCCCTGGAAGCCACGAGCGCCACCAACTCCCCAGCGAAGATGAGAACGGGGCTGTGCGCACCGGCTCTGTAGATTCCGTGCGATCAAACCCAACGACGACGCGTTCGCCTTCGGCCCTGACGGCGATGAGCACAAGCCCGGAGACGGTGCCCACAGCCGTCAGCATCGACTCTCCCTCCCGACGGCACGCAAAGGCAGAGACGGTGAGGTTGCCCTCATCGCTGTGGAACTGAAACTCGACGGAGTGGTCAAGGCTAGAGACGGCGCCGTAATCGGTGCAAAACGCCAATGACTCCTCGTCAGGGCCGAGCTCAGTGACAAAGAGCGGCAGCCCCTCACTTTCAGTGAAGGTAGGAATCTGTGCCATGCGAGGGGCGGTTCGCAGCCAAAAGGGCTTGTTCATGTTCCACACACGAAGAAGGCGCGTATTCTCATCCACGATCCAGCAGCTATGGGCTCCAATGCCTGAGAGAAAAACCGATGGACGGACCATAACTTCACCCACTGAAATCTCCGCCTCGGCAATAGAATTGGGGCGCACACGCTCAGCTCCCATCGACACGAAGGGGTTTGCTGCCGCCACTGCAGGCGCCGTTAGCTCACTTAAATCTCTCTCTGTCTCCAGGCTGCTCAGCGGTGAACGCTGCGTCCGGGCGACTTTTGCCGGTGGAAGGAATGCGAACATCCAGCCGCCTCACCTGCCGACGCACTTAAAACCCCAGAAACTGTTCGGAGGCTCCTTTCCATGAACGCATTCACAGGTGTTGGTAAAAGAAACGGGGCAAAGGCAAGGGGCAGGATGGTTAGAGAGAACATTGTAATGAAAATGCAACAGAGAACAAAGCACAACGATGCTGGCGGTGCCGGTGCATACGCACGGGAGGGAATGCGGCAGCGGCAACTGGTCCCCATCCCCCACAATCCTCACAGAGCGGATTTTTCTTCGTCTCGCCCTTTCTCTCTTCCTTTGTGTATACATGTATATATATACCCACCTATTTATGTATATAAACAACAACAACACAAAAAAAAAGGGGGGTGTAGCAAGTGGTGCAATCCACACGACGCAATTATACTTTGTGTGGGGATCCATTATTTTTTTGTTTCTTCTGGTGCAGCTTACATATATATAATGTTTAGTTTCTATGGGGAATCTCTATAACTTTTTCGACTTCTAGGTGGTGGTGGGCCCACTGCCACGTCCTGCACCTAACGCTCCTCCTCGGGGTCGAGACTCATCTCCTGCAGCATGCTCCGCAACGGCTGCAGCCACTTTAAATCCATCTGACGGCTCAACAGCATCTCCTGCAGCTTTGGGGCGTCGGTGAGCGGGTTGAAGGAGGCAAGACTGTCCCACTCAAGCGGACAACAGAGAGATGCCGTGCCGGGGTGCACGCAAAACGGCAGCTTCAAAAGGTGGTCCCGCCGTGTCGTGACGTGCTCGTCGAGCCTTGGGTACATCACCAGAAGCTGCGCCGCGGCCGTGACCTTCTCCGCGGCGTCCCCCAATGCCCGTATCACGTAACCCCAGTCCAGTATATTGCCCTCCTCAAAGGGAACGTGCTGCAGAAACCGTTGCTCCACGTCACGGCGTGAACCCATTTTAAGCGCCGCAGCGATTGCAGTGTAAACAACACTGGCCCCTCTCGGGTGCAGTACGCTGTTTGGGTTCGACTCCGGGGACTCCAAAAAGAGCCGGGTAAACGCTGGGTCAATGATGTCACGCTGCACACAGCGAATGGTGGGGTGAATGGGTTTGCCGTTAACAAAGTCCGCCACAACAGCCTGGCGAGAGGCCTTGGGAACCACCACCGTCAAGTACCCCACCAGCGCAGAACGCTCGTCGTCGTGCATCTTGCAGGCTCGCTTGTCACATACCCATAGGTGAATGCCGCGTCGACCAGAGAACACGGGCAGAATGTAACGAAACCCAAAGTCCTCCTCGAGAATTCTGCGCAGCAAGTGGGCCGCACAGGCCATCCACGTCCAACAGTAGCTGCAAATAGACTTTCCACTGCAGCAGGACCGTACACTATCGTAGTCGCTCATGTCAATGTCAAACACAAGTTCACGCTCAAGGGGAATAATGCTTGAGGCGCTCTGTTTCTGATTGGGTCGAATGGTGTAGACTGCGCCAACGTCAATCTTCTCTGGGTAGCAACGAATGAGGTCGCGTCGCAGCTCCGCCGTGTTGCCGTAGCTTCGGAAGCGTGTAAAGATGTCACCGAGAAGCGTGAAGCAGAACTCCCGCCGCGCAAGATAACCCTCCGCGGCGATGTTGCGCTGCTCCTTCTTGGCGGCCTCCTCCGACAGCAGGGGACCGAGGGCGGCGCCGTCGCTGTCCGCGGCGCCGGCTGCGTCGGCCGTCCTCCCCGCAGTGGAGAAGTTGTACGACAGCCACTGCGTCACGAGCTCGACGGGGTAGACAAACTCATAGAACTCCCGCAGTTGGACCTCGTCCAGCATTCTTCTTCTCGCCACACCTACCACGAGTAGCGGGGGAGGGCGCGAGAGCCACACACGCACCGCGAGAGGCAGCGAAAAGGACAAGCGAGAACTGACAGAATCGTCTCAAAGGCACGGAGTTGCCGCAAGCCACCCCCCTTCCCCACCAAGAAGACAAGAATAAGTAAATTAACAACGACAAAAGCAGCAGCGGCCGACGGCCGTGGGGGGGAAAAAATACAAAAAAAAACGCAGAATTCAAACTCGTCTGCCTCGTTCTTTTCACCGCTAGTGCGAGATAAACCGTTAAAAAAAAGAGGCACACGCAGAGAGCCAGGAAAAAGTGACATCGACTGCCGGACCAGCTCCTCCCCAGCGTGTTGCAACAGAGGCAGATATACATTTCACTAAAACCGGAGGGGCGGCAACTTTGAGAGTTGTCGTGCAAAACTTGTCGATTCCATTGCAACATCTTTCACCAGCGCTTTACGGTACTGCGCCCATTTTCGCTGCCGCTCGTATTGCTCCTCAATGTTTTCGCAGGAAGGATATCCTTTAGCAAACCCCTTCAGCTGCGCATATTCCCGTTCACCAAACAGGTGTCGGCAGTTTTCATGAGTCAACATGTAAAGAACGCACGGAGTCTTTGTGTAGACACTGGCCTGACGATGAAGCGACGCCGGTGGGAATGCACCGTCAGGCGGCTTTGCGGAGGAGACACGACTCTGCAGGCTGTAGTCATCTGTATTATACTCAGTAGTGGAGCACCAAGACATATTTCCTTCTACAGCAGCGTAGTCGATCGGGGCATGTAAGGCGCTGAGAAGTAGATTATGCCAGTACGTCTCTGACCAGACTTTCTCAACGTCGGGTCTCCAGTCCACGTCATGATTGAGCAAGCCAAGTTCACCAAAGAACTCTCCTTCCCGCAGCGTACCAAGTTCCACCAGCTTCGTATGCGGCGGCGGCGATGACAGTGGCAGCGGTGAATCCACCGAAGTAGCTGGCAAATGCATCTTTCCTTCGGGGCGCCCAGGCGAGATTCGCTGTGGCAGTGGATAGGCCTCTGCCTGTGTGGAGCCCGACGACCGGCGTGGCCTTCGCTCCTGCTCCTGCGTTTGCTGGTGGAGCATCGGCACATCGCGCACAACAACGCACTGACCCTCTTTTATAAAGTACAACGCATCCGCCTCCATCCCTTGCGTCACCACCATCTGCCGCCAGGAGGTACGCAGTGGGATCATCGACCGCGCAGCCGCCTCGTACTTATCTCTTGTCCAGTGAGTAAAAATCTTCACGCGAAGTTGACACCGCAAAAATAAGGCGCGTTCGTTAAGCACCTGCTTTTCAAGGTAGCTAATGAGACGATCCAGTGCGAGCTCCGTGTCCCGCGCCAGGCGCAGCAACATGCATTCACCAGTCGTAACGTACCAGGACCCCTCCGGTAGTGCAGCCACGGTCGTTGGAAGGGCAAATACTTCGTATGGCTCAACAAAGGCCTCCAGGGAGGTTTGCACGGAAGGCAGCCGCAGCGCGATTTTCCCACGCAGCAGCACAAATACATGTTTATTTACATCACGGTTGGCGCTCGACACATGTTCGCAGACTTCTTTCTTCTCCGCCACGCCAAAAAGCGACTCCGCTAGCGAAACAAGGCCATCCACCTCATTGGACGTATCCGAGGAGGCGGACCTCGCCGCTTGCTTGGCGAGGCAGGAGGAGCAGGGGGGGAAGGGCAGGCATCCGGCCAGCACGGTGTTCGCCCGCACCCGCACGATTTCCATGCGTGTGGCAATCACCACCAAGTCGTCCTCGACGAGGGACTCAAACTGCGGGATGCGTCGCAGCATCTTTAGGCAGAGGTCCTTGTTTTTGTCTGAGCGGTACACAAAGGGGAATTCGAGGGAGCGTTCCACCTGGTCCCAGAGTGCGTTCTCATGCCGTATTTGCTGCGAGCAGCGATCCACCGCATCGGGAGGCATAAACCTCGTAGGTTTCCTCTTCACAGGCGGCAGCGGCGAGTTATGAGTGGACGCCTCGCCCTGCTTGTCCCCCTGCTCCCGCCGCCGCTCCTCCTCGGCGCCTTCCGAGCTCGGCTTGGACTCGGCGCGCCCTAACGCCTCCTCCAAGAAGCGCCTTTCCAACGGCGTGAGAGAATCCAGGACGCTCATAACGCGCACACACCACGCAGCGGCTTCCATTGAAGAACAGCAATAGAGAGAAGGAGAGAGTGAGCGAGTGTGTGTGTGTGTGTGTGCGGTGAGGAGGGGAGGGCCGTTGTCGGCAAGCAGCAAAAATGCCCACACAACGGGCAACAGGGCGCAGCAGACGCAAAAAGCACGGAGTACACACCTCCATGCAAGTCAGGAAAACAACAACAACAACAACAACAAAGAAAAAACTACGCGGCGGTGTTAATAACCAAAAAAAAAAGCAACAACACGCATATGACCTCCAAGTGCATCGTCGCAACAGACTCACAGAAGCTCATACACAAACCGACCTCAAAGGCAGCACGGACAGGCACCCACAACTTCCCACTAAGCCCTCGTGCATAACCTCGCAGAAGCAAAGACATTGCATCAAAAACACAAAACGCCGCTACCTCCAGCACCCCGGCCGACAGACAAAAAAAACGGCAAAAAACAAGACAACACAACCAACTAACGACTTCGTACAACCCAACGCTCGAGAGCCCTACCTCCACTATGCCTAAAAACACTCGAACCCGCACCAGTAGAACAAACAACACGAACTGCTTTAGCCTTACAATTCTTCAAACCCACACGCCTAAGCAATTTTTTCCACTCAATACTCTCATCCTCCAATAACATTGCGCGCTCATCCTCTTCCCACCTCCCAAGATGATCCACATATATCCCACTAAGACGCTCCCCACACACTAGACCATCACCAAAAGCAACACTCTGAGAGCATCCCTCCTGAACAGCACCGGCGTCTACGAAGACACCCCCAAAAACATCAAATTCGCCCAACGCCACCGCCTCACCCTGCTGCAGCCCGCGCCGCTGCGTCGCCTCATCCTCCGCGAGGCACACACGGCGCAAGCCAAACCTGTCGTCGCGCTCCTCGCTCCTGAGGGAAGCGAGGGCGTTCTCTTCCTCCGCGGCAAGCGCCTCCACTGAGCGCTCCAGTGTTGCGCTGGCGTACTCCTCTCCGAGGGCGCCCACGGCCTCCGCCTCACCCTGCTGCAGCCCGCGCCGCCGCGTCGCCTCATCCTCCGCGAGGCACACACGGCGCAAGCCAAACCTGTCGTCGCGCTCCTCGCTCTTGACGGGAAGCGAGGGCGTTCTCTTCCTCCGCGGCAAGCGCCTCCACTG